AGGGCCCTTGTTTTAGTAAATACTTTAGCTGGTTTTGTCTTGTTGTTTGCTCTTATTTTTAACAAAAGAATTACTCTACTCCAAAACTCATGTGTTCAGAAGAGAGTGTATGCAGATCTCATAATCTCTTTTAATATGACCTTCTTTGTCACAGTAGTAAGCAGACCTTGGAGCTTCTTTCCATTCAGTAGTAACTTTGCAATTGTTGATATATGTATTAATTAGAATTCTTTTAGCTATATCTGAATCTTCTGTAGTTTCGAATGTAATTAGCCATTGATCTGAGCAGATATTGGTCTCTTCAAAAATAAGAGGTTTGACTAATGCAATTTGCCCTACATCCTGAAAAGCTTCTATGATTTGGTTACTGATATGTTTAGATTTACCTAGAGGCATGTTTCTCAGTTTTACTGTAAGAAAGGTATTGTTAAGGTTGATTGGAATATATCTGAAAAGTGACTGTTTGAAGAGTGTAATTCTCTATGCAGCATATAGTTGAACTTTCTCATTGTTTTTAAAAACTACTTTCAGGAAAGCCATTTTTCCTTTGAATATATTTATTTTGGCTGCTAGAAAGTCTTTTCCAATACTTGAAGCTAAGGCTGTAATAATATTATTAGTTAAGACTTTGTATATTTAGGATTAAAGCATTGTTGTTTTTGAAGCAAATTTTTTGTCTAGGGGTGGAGTTTGTGTAGATTGCTTTTCCTTCTTTAAGCTTTGCAAATAGGTCTGACCATTGTTTTGATTTGGCATTTTTTGTAGTGGTAGCTTCTGTGTTGTTGACTTTCTTGTTGTAGGTTGTTGTTACATTGTTTGTAGCACTCTGCTGAGGTTGAATGATGTTTTTATCAACTTGCATGTGTTCTGGCATGTTGCTTCAGACACATGTCTAAGATTGTCATCAGTAGACATGTGATTCCATTGTTGTTTGTTGTTTACTTAAAGTAGATTTGTTAACTTTTTGGCACTATTATGTGCTTCGTTTTGGTCTAAAAATCTGATGTTTTCTTATTTGTTTCAAGAAACTTGTTTTCTTCTACTTGACTGGCCCAGCAAGCTGTGTCTTCTATTGCATAGTTAACTGTGAGGTCATGGGTTTCCTGAATAAAGTTGTTACTGTTTTTTCTTGCTTTTTGGGTTTCTTTCTTGCTGCTTTTAGTTTTTGTAAAGTTAAAAGTTTTTTCTGCTGTTGTGTTAAGTCTGAGCTTTTTGTATTGAGCCTTGTTCATATTTAAAGACTTTGTTTTGCATTTCTTTGGAATAAGAGCCCTTGCTCTGTAAGAGTTTTGAAATAAAAATATATTGATTTTTGTTAAGATTTTGGTTTTTACTTTATTTCTGGAGATGAACTGAAAAGAGTTTTTGCTTTGCACTGCTCTTTCAATAAAATTATGGCCTCATTATTTAAGAACCTTAAAGAGAATGCTATAGCAGTAAAACAACACTTTATGAAAGAAACATGTACACATTTAGAAACTGTATTTGAAAACAAAGACAAATTAAAACATTATGCTATCAAGAGTATTAATACTTTTGGCAGAACCTACTTCAGCTTTATTTCTGCAAATTTAAGAAAATCATTTCTTTCAACCAAGATTAGAAATGTTCTACTAGGTAACAAAGAAGCAATATCAGATGCTATAAAAGAAGCATTTGCGTTTGTTGGCAGAATCATATCAATTAAGCCTCTACTGATTGAAGAAACATCTTACCTTACAGACCAATGGATTATAATCTTTGAGAGACAGCATCTAAAATATGCTACTTTTATGAAAAAGAAGGCCATGTTAAAAAAAAAATATTAACAATTTCAGGACTTAGTAAATATATAAATTAGCTACCAAAAATACAAAAAGGATAAATATAACAGAAGACTCTCAAATGACTTTCAGAAATTAAATAAGACTTTAGAAAATATCAAACAAAGAAATAAAAAACTTCTATTATCAGCAAACTCTAATCAACAAGAACAAAATGATGCAAAAAATGATGCACATATGGACTTAGAAAAAACTAATCCTAGTTATCAACAAAACCTTCAGCTTTTAGTTCTAGCAAAATTAGCTACAAAAAATAGTTGTAATAGCTAACCCAATATAAAGTTGATAAAGTATCACCACAAGTATGGCCTTTAAAAATAAAAATAATAATAATAATCATAATAAAAAAAACTTGATGTTTTAATATTGGTTTTTCAAATATTCTGAAAAATATTTTTCCATACTTGTAAAATAATATACCTATTACTGATAGTGCAGGCTTACAAGAAAATGATTTAACACAAGATAAACAAAATGGGTTTTTGTCACCTTCAATGAAAATAGACAACAATAAAAGAAACTTTACACTAAGTAAAGATAAGGACCTCTCATCTGACTCAGTACTAGCACCTCATGATGAACTGGCTGCACTGTATCTTAATACAGAATCACAGGCAGGAAACAAAAATATAGATGAAACATTACCTATAATGGAAGTTGTTAATGCAATGAGAGACTGCCCTCACAGACCTAATTGGGTCAAAATTTTTGTACATTTACATGCCTCCAAAATTCAAACTTAAAATTACAACTTTGAATATAAAAGGACTAAATGATCAAGGCAAACAACAAAAAATATAAATACTCTTAAAATCCTACAATTTATATTTAATAATAATACAAGAAACTAATTTCAACAATGAAAATACTAGGAACTTTTTAAAACACCAATGGATATATGACTCATTCTGGTCAGACAAAGTGGCAATTCTGAAAATAAACCATGATAGATAAGTTATCACAGCATCATTTGTCTACAAAGGTCTCTTATTTTATATTACTAATGTGTATGCACCTCCTAACACTAGCAACAGAGTAATATTTTTTGATAACTGGACTCTTTAAATAAAAGAAAATGCAATAAACATTATAACAGAAGACTTCAACATAAATCTAAAACCTGAAGCAAACAGAATAAGTCAAGCAGTACCTCAGCCAGACCCATCCAGGAACCAACTGTTGAAATTAATAAAAAAAACTTTTCAAATACTGCAGAAATCGCTGGATCTAAGCCTTTTCTTATATTTTATCAAAAAACACAAGGTGGTAACATGATGACAACATGTTTAGACTACATATTTATCAATGAAAATTAATCACATTTAGTCTCTAAGATCACTATATGTTTTGGTAACTCTGACCATCTTCTAGTTAGTTGCTTACTCAACTTTAACTGAAAATTAAAACAACCATCCTGCTAGTGATTTGATAAAATCATGTTTAATAATGAAAAACTTAAAAAAGAGGTCTTTGACAAGGGCTAAAACTCTTGTATCTAGAAAGTGAAAACTAGTTGATATAATCATTTTGAGTACTTCAGCAAGCAGTGTAAACAGAAAAGTCAAGAAAGCTAAAACTTCAAGCATAGAGACAGTTGAAGGTGGCAATAGCAAAGCAGATAACAAGAAAAATACAGAAACTTCTAAAGATTTTCAGAATATTACAAAAAAAAACAGACAGCACTTTAAAACAGAAAATTTCAACATCATCCAAACAGTTGATAAAAATGTAAAGAACAAAACTAAAAACAAAGCAAAATTGGTTCAAGAAGAAAATAGTTTGTTTACTTTTTTGGAAGAGTCATGTCAAGAGGTGACAAAACAAACAAAACATGTGGTTGTTGCTAGTCATGTTTCTGAGCACCAAACAAACAGATCAGGTGATTAATAATAGTCACATTTCTGAGCACCAAACAGAACATGTGGCTGCTACTAATTAGAGAGAAGAACAAGCTTCTAGTCAGGAGTTGGAAATCACCAATAGCTAATCAAAACCAAGTACCTTATTTGTAAAACCCATACAGTGGTCAGATCTATTTGCTAAACTCGAAAGAGGAAAGGCAACCTATTTAATCTACTCTTCCAAAAAAAGATTGCATACCAAAAATAAGAATGCACTAATTTTTGAAATTCACAGTTTGGAAAATATTTCTACTACAGATATCATTGAAGCAATGCAAAACAAAATTGGTGATAACCTTATTGCAGTTAAACCAATAATTATCAAAAACAGAAGAAAAGCTGCAATACTATGCAACTGAAGATCTTATTATTATTATTATTATTATTATTATTATTATTATTAAAATGCATTTAAGTGTGCTTTTTATTAAAATATGAATTTACATTAGAGTTTGATAAATTTTATAATGTTTCTAATTTCTTTCTTATTCGCATTAACCTTTCTAGAAATTAAATTCTGTAAAAGGTCAATCTCATATTTTATTTTGAGTTTAGCTATGTTAGAAGCTATCTCAATAGAGGCAGTACTGT